GGATATCATCTCGGATGCAGCCAGAATATCTCACGGTCTCTTTAGTCTGGCTGCGATCAGTAAAATCCTCCTTTCGTCAGCATTGTTACGGAAAATCAGCGCGCATTTTTCACAAGTCGACGGACAATAGGAAGGGAATGCCGGAGCATCCGACGCTGCCTTCCATTGTGATTTTTCCGTTTCTTTCGCGAAACTCCGTCCATTTGTTCACGGCAGATCGAAGTTTGCGGTTGTTTCGCACGGCCATCCGCGCCCGAAATGCTACAGGTACCGCGTTCTGATAAATGGAAAGTCGACCGGCCACTACATACAGCGCCATAAATCCAAACGTCGCGTGATAGACGATCCTCGAATAAAGCCCTCTATAATTCTGGGTTATCTTATCTGCAACGTCTGTCGATACGGTGAACGGTGAACACTCAGAAAGGTTTCTTGTATTTCGGTTTCTCTCAATGAGTAACTGAATTCAGTAAAACAGAAGAATAGAAGCAAACTGAATATCTCGTACGAACAATTTTTAATCCCCGTCTTGTACAATAATTTTTTCGTCTGTAAAAGTCACGTTAAAGTCAAATCTGTAGAAGAATTTATTTATATGAATGGCTAAGTAAAATTTAATCGTATAACGCAGTATCTGTAAGGAAAATACAAAACGCACGCCGCTCATGTTTGCGTACGGTACAGATTCTGTTGCTTCTGCTCGTCGAGCTAAGGATACGCGAAATCCTAACTAGAATGGATCTGAGTCATCGAAGCGTGCCTTCGAACGCGACACGAGGATCATGGCTGAGATCAATCCGTAAATTCGCTCGCGTCCTCTACCGCGTTTTGCTCTCCGCGTAATACGCTATCTTCTCGGATTTACAGTTTTCATACCTGGTGGATACCTCTGAATAAAAATGATGTGACGAACATTCACGTGGAATATTGCAGGCAAATCCATGTAATATCTTTGTAAGTTATGATTTTACTTTAAATATATGTAAATATACACCTTTAATAGTGGACCCCCAATATTACCCGCTATAATTGTTGTAATTTTACATGTAATTTTTTTACAATTTATATACAATTCTATTAACTAATAATATTCGTCGTTAATAATACCATTGCAGTATACTATTATATACTATTAATATATAACGAATGAAATATATGCTATTAATGAATAAAAAAATTACGAAATAAAATTAATATTTTCGGCTGGGCTTGCAAAGAGTCTAGCAGGACCTCATTATAATTTTTCGATTCATCTGGCTCAACAACGAGTCTCCCGGGAGCTAACAGTCTCCCAGGATCCGTAAACAGCGGCGGCATTTTTTCGATGACAAAATCGAGGGGAGATGCACGTCGTTCCTGTGTTTTCACGAGCGTATCCGACTCGCCCACGCTTTACAAACGACCGCACTCAAAAACGAATCTTCTCTCTCTCTCTCCCTCTCTTTCTCTTTCTTTCCCAAAGACTTTACAGATAATTAACTGACATTAACGTTCCATTCGTCGGGCGTGGTTATGTTAGCTCGTATTTCTCTACGACAGTCGGTGCATACATGTTTTTACGACTGATAAGGATCGCTTTTCCACCGAGACATCCTGCTTCGCGTACCTATCCCAGCCCTGTCCTGAACAACGACTTCGCCGACAGAGCGGATTACTAAATTCATTGGCTTCGTTTTGTACAGAGGACTTCGCCTCCGCGTCGTCGACATGGTTTCTCTTTGGCTTCCACGCAATTAGGGTCAACTCGACGATTTGTCGGGAGCGATTTCTTTCAGAGAGCTCGCAACAGGAAAAAGGCAAACCGTATCTCGTAAAACTCGTAATTATTAGTTAATAGTAATGTATTCTAAGTTCTATTACGTGTCATACAGATGATACTTTCATATGCGTCAATTAAATAACATGTTATTCGATACGTAATAATAAATTACGCCGATCTGAGACACTGCGATATTACATCCTTCGGTAAAAACACATATTTTGCAACAAAGTTCATAAATAATATTGAATTAATTATAGAATTATAGAAACTGTCAAACACTTAGTGGGGTTGCTCGGAGCTGCGTATTGGAAATGAAATTAATAACTACTTAGCAATACGAGACAACCCCGTTACAATGTTTCGCGTTTCTGTCGGCATTAGAAATAAATTAAATGATATTAAGTAACATAAATTAAATGATATTAAGTAACATAAATTAAATCGAATCGAGGTAGATACACTGTTAAATATCAGAGCAGCAATAGCAATCTAATCTTTTGAATTAAATATGTATATCATTCTGTTATTTTTAACTTCCATGTATATCAAAATGTAAAGTAATTTATTTCTGTGAATAGTTTCAAAGTAAACAACGTCCATATTAACGTATACACGTAATAATAATAAACTAAATTTGAGTAAAAAATATACATTTTCTTGAATCAAATTGTTTAACTCCATTGTTTCAATTAAATTAATGACATTCGAGTAGGAGTAGCGACGACCTAGAACAATGATTAAAAATAACTCAAATTGGACATAATTTGGGCATGAATTTAAGTGTTAACAGAGGCTTCGCGAATGGTGAATCGCGTCGTGTGTGGCACGCGTTTGCGCGATCGGAAATCCGTAAGTGCAATGCCGCCAATAAAATATGCATATACATTCGTAGCCTCGTGTAGGTGCCGCGCTACATCCCACGTGGCGTACCCTACACGGACGTCTCGCGTGTATTAATCTGCATAAACTCATTCCTATGCAAACGAAGAGATTCGACGTTGAACTAGGATATCATGCGAAGCCTCCGTGGCTTACATCGCGGCTTAAACGAGCTCCTATACGTGCGCACGCGTGAGGATGCATGCCGCCCGCGTGCACAAACCATGGGATGAGTGTATAAATATATAGATGCACTCGGGTACGTGTGCGTGCGTATCGTAAACGATACCGATCGTAAACGGAATCTCCTTCGTCGCGTCGACGGCATAATAATTGCGAAATCTCTCGTTTTCCCCGTGGTAGACGACGCTGGCCGGCCATCCAAAAGGACTACGACGACGAGAAAATGGCACCTGCCTGAAACGATCGCGCGATAATCTGTCCCTTCCGTAGTCCGCGAGATGAAAAGAAAACAATCGATGAATAATTTTGTGGCCGCCAGAGTACTTACCGCGTCCAGGGGAATTGATTTCGACGGAGCGCATCGCGAGCGTTAAGTCCCTCATGAATACAATCAGGAGATAAAGCTTTTATGGCGACTCGATGTATAAACGATACCGTTTTCCGATAATTTCTAATTTAACACTTAGTGCTTAGGGAGATTAAATGTTTATGCGAGAAACACGGAGTGTTTCGTCATGACGTTTTACTAATCAGCGGGTCTTAGTGTATATTGTTACGCTTAATTAAATATTGCGGCAATAATTATGCTCGTTGAGAAACTCGCTCTATCATTTGCTTAATCCTTCTGCTACTACAGTTTCTTTTGCCAATTACGCTAGAAAAAAATATATTATCCCATCATATTTCAACTCAAATAATCCTCACCGTGTGTATATTAATTTTAGATATAAATTTTCATGAAATAACGAAGGAGGAAGGATATTTACTTGCAAACTAAAGTATAAAATCGCATAATTTAATTATCCGTTAATAAGAAAAGATTAATTTCTGCGCAGGAAAAAAAATACTCGAACCAGACTCGTTTACCTCATAAATATCCCATCGCACGATTGCAGAAAATAAGCTTATTGATATAATCGTCATACATGTTCGGAGGCCGCAAGCATAATGTATCATGCTACTTTGGAATCAAATAAGACCTACAATGAGTACGACGATCACGCAGCTGTGAAGGACTTTGCAAGCGAATGCTCTTACCGGTTCTTCTTACAACGAGAGAGAGAGAGAGAGAGAGAGAGAGAGAGAGAGAGAGAGAGAGAGAGAGAAATGACGACACGACGCGCGCCGTAAGATAGATTTTGCACCGTCTCGCGGCTATAAGCTGCGGTATGTATGTTTAATGCGGAGCACGCGAGGCCTACGACCGAGCGACTTCTTACTACCGTTCTCGCACATTACTTATTCACCGTCGGCGTAATTACCAACGGATACTCCATCAAACTCGAGACACCTTTCTCACAGGCATCGAGAGAACTGGTGCAACCAAGTTACACTCGTGCACATGTCTGACGTGTATCGGAGCTTGCGCAAAATGGGAGTAACGCATTATCGGCTGATAGGCTCGTAAGCCAATAACGAGCTGTTACCGCGCTACTCTCGAGCGTTCCTCGTTGCTTTTCGAGTTCGATCTCTGCTCATGAAATAAACTCTCGTTGGATCATGGATCGCGGATCGATGCGAGTTAAAAATTACTGACTACGATCGAGACATCTTTACGTAAAACTAACGCGTCGCAATTCTCGTGCTGTTCCTTCCTGGAAAATACATGACATGTGTGTGTGGAAGTCGCAGGAAGTTTAGCTCCGCCCTCAGATCGTACAAGAAGGAAATGATTCCACGTGCAGCGAATAATCGACAGAAAATTGAACAAGGATTACAAGCCAGATCTACATGAAGATATAATGTCATTCGTGCATCATTCTCTGCAGAATTTTTAAGTTAAAAAATTATATTGAGCTAAACTCGACTGTTACGAAATTCAATAGATATTTGATAATATGTGAAACTATTTTATATAACAATTATATAAATAAGATAGCGTACGGTAAAACTCTTAATGTCTTTATATAATAGATTTCTTTTAATAGAAATATCTTTGAAATGTATTATTTCTCTTATTCGCCACAGTTACGGTTATGAAATACATGAAATCACACAGTGTCACATTTCAATGTAGCATTCAAGATGACACTCTCGTGCGATAATTACGCATGTCGTTTCTCCGCCAAGGTGAACTTGTTCTTCGGGAGCAGTGAACGAAACGACTCGCTTTGTCGATCGCCTATCCAACTATCGTCAAGCATGACATAATGATTGTGCTCTTTTTTTGTTTCAGGTTGACGAGAAATGGCACGGCGGGAGTCTCGGTGAGGAAAGGGCGAGGGTGAAGCCCTCGCAGGAAAAGGGAGCTATGGTGAAAAGCTTGGGTTTCCTCGCCAGAAGGGCGCCACCTGCTGTCCACCTTTTCGTCGTTTTGCTCGCGCTCGCCCCCGCTTACCACGGCGTGGACCTCTGTAAGTAGTTTCCTAAGCTCTAATCCGCAGGCCTTATAGTACCCGTCGTCGTGCGTCTCGTCGTGAAACTTCGTTCGACTATAGTTCCTTGGTTTGGAGTCGCGCGCGCAGGTTGTTTCGTTTATAAGTTATTAACGACGCGGAGGTAGCGCGACCCCAGAACTTACGCCACCGCAGTCGACGAACTTTCGATCCAGGATCGGCTTTGACCCTGGTCATTAGATATCTTGTGTACCTATCTCAAGATATTGCGTCTTATCATTCGAGTCGTGTGCGTTTATATTTGCGATACCTCGGAGGCTTTCGAGTGGGCGAAACCTGAACGTCTGAATCTGAACATTATATCGCCGACAAGAAATATATTGATAATGTAAATGAACAACGAATTATCGCAAAATTTTGAAATAATAAAAGATCAATATATTATATATACACTATTAGAAATATTCTTAAATCTTTTATCACTTTTAATGTATACTGGTAAATAAAATTTAAATTTTCTATAACTGAAAAGACTATTTATGTATATGTTAATGAGATTTAAGTTTGTAATAACTAAAAAATTAAGTGTATTGAAATTTAATACACTTTTAATTTACGGATATGAATATTCTAATTAATCGTAATTGAAATAACTAATAATAGGTATACACACTATTAAAAATATCATAAAATTTTATGTACCTTTAAGTTACACAAGTTAAATTTAATTTTATAGCATTACATTAAATTTAATGTTCTCGTTCATTACATTTACGAAAATTGTAACTTAGATTTACATCGCTCATTACTTTTCAATTATACGTTCCTTACTTACATTCCATTAACACGTTTATTAATTTTCAGTCTCATTTCTTACATTTCATTAACTCGTAAATTAACTTTATAACGGTACATTATATTCGTTAAATTTAATGCACACGTTCATTACATTTAAGACTACTGTAATTTCGTTTTCAGTTAAATCATACATTACTTTTCAGTTATCTACTTGTTCCACAAGCTTTCGTTACACGTTATTTAAAATTCATTAAGAAATTTCTAATAGTGTACTGTTATCTCTTATTTGGATTTTAACTATTCATATTTTTTTATTAAAAAATCGCAGTCAAAAACTGACATTTGTTTAACAACTTCAATCAGCGTTATCAGAATTTTAATTAATAATAAATCTACGTAATATTAGTTGAAATATATCTACTCTCATATCTACTTTAATAAAAAAAGAATAGTCTTATTAAAAAATCAACGAGAATCACATAGGAAAATCCCACTTTCAAGATCACGCGGAGTACTCCATTTTATCGTATTAATAATAAGTAATCGCTCTGTTCCAAAGCCCTGTTCGCGAAAAGCAGCTTAATAGAAATAGATTTCCGGACGTAGAAGAGAAAAATTGCATCGTAGCCGTGATAATGGAAAGCTTAATAATTGCACCCTCCCGAAACCCTTCCAAACTGTATCCTTAGCGATTTCCTTTCTTTCCCCGTAATTTATCTTAGCGCCAATAGCCAGAAAATAATCGATGGTGTTTTTCTTGAGTGGAGACCCGTTAAAGATGAACCACTTTTACTAGACAACCTCCAAGGATGAAATCATGCGAAGCGTCTTGCACGCCGTCAGACGTCTCGAAGATTAACGGAGAGAGATTAGTATCTCGAAAGAGTCACGAGGGTGTCGTGTTTATTCACCCCTATTCACGATCGATTTACGATCAAGTGTGATATCTCACAGTGATTCGTTAGACCGGACGCACCGACAAAGGAAACGAATTCTACCGGTCGAACTTTATCGAGGACGGGCGGTCGTGAGAATTCCGGCGAGGGTGCACGATATATATCGGCTGAACCTTCATTAATAATAATAGTGATTCGCTCACCATGTTGGCCATCCAAGGATCTCGATCGAGCATTCCCTCCCTTTGTTGGCACGACTTTCCTACCATTGATTCAAATCGCCCTCTCGCACTGTCCCCGCTGAATTCGTGGACATACATTAGCGACAGAATCGCGATGTATCGGGCTGACCTTCATTAATAATAATACCAAGTTCGACCCACCGCGACGATCTTCGTGTTCTCGCTTGGGCCGCGAGACGCGACTTTTCCACTATCGATGTCGGCGCACTCCGCGGAATCTGAAGACATATATTAGCGGTGGACATATCAGAAGAACCTTCATTAATAACAACAACCAGTCCTCACGCCGATCGCAGTTTCCTCCCTTTGTCGACTCGACTCTCTTGCCGTTGATTCTAATCGGCCAGCGCAGAGGAAGTTGAACATACATATATTAGAGCACCGGAATCGCGATATGACGAGGAGAGCCCTGTTAGTAATAACGGCGATTAATCCGATCGGCCATTTTGCCGATTCCCAACGCGACAAGCGTCGCGTTTGTAGGCGTGCAATTTTCCATTTGTCGATTACGATCGAAATCGCGGCGTACATTAGCAACGCGTCGTACCCTGATGAATATTCCTTCGATATCGTTTCCGACCATCTCTCTCCGCGGATTACAAATAACAGAGCTCGCCCAATTATTCTAGATATAAACTCAGGAGACCGATCGATCCAATTGTACATCATAGAAATGCATGTCGCACAAATTGCGAGCATTATATTCTTAAATCGCGTCAGCGAATCCACGCTTTACAGAGATTCGGCAATAAAGTATTGGATTAAAACGTAAGACCAAAATACACATTTCACAACGGCCGACGCCGACCGGGCGCAGAATTACGAGGCGGGGTGGTATCGTCGGAAGAACACTGCAAACTTTCACCGGTATTAATGGCCACCTACATGCTCGTTCTGTTCGTTGGCTTAGCGCGGATTCCTTCCGTTACACTCCCCGGTACGAAGCTGCGTCCTCCCTCTCGCCCCGAAGATCCCTTCGAACGCCCAGCTACATTCGCGCTGCCTCTGCACTCGATATCCGGGCATTAGGCATTATCGTTGCCGACTACCGTGTATTGTTACGTTGTACGATCCCTGCTCGGGCTACTTCAAATTTTAGCAATTTCCGTATCGCGTATGGGTATCGTTACTTGGACGTGTAAACCGTAATCGATGCCGTGTTGCATCATGCATATACGAGACATGCGCTGCGAGCATAGCGGACGTTCGAGTTGTCGCATCCGGAATAGTTACGCTACAATATGCGCTCCTTTGTTGAATTACAAGAACCCAGTGTATACCGTACACGTGTCTGTGAATTTACCTAGCTTTGACTTTGTACACGCGACGAAGCATCCGGTCTGCGTGGAAGTGAACGACCGATATGCTCGTGGCCGGATAATCGCGGCTATGTCTCGCGTTCTCAAGATAAATGCCCGATAAGGCGTGGGCGGTTAATGGTGCCTTAAAAACAAGAAATGCGAAATGTCGCGGATCCTTACTGTCGTCCCTAATGATACCGCCGTGACGCGGACGGCACGAATACGTACATGCATCATACTTTGTGTAAATTTTACTGCACAACCGGACGATCGCCTCTTGAAAATGCGTGCGCCGGAGAGGTCGGAGTAATGTATGCAAAGTAGACGGTATCGTTTGTTCGATGGCCCTTAACCCTGTCATTGGTGCTCGTGGGGACGAATACGCGAGGCTAGTCGATCTGCGCCGAGAGGATTCCTTTCAGATATTAAATCTCCGGAAGATAAAGCGTTTTATGATCCTCATTAGCGTGCAGTCACGACGATGAGACAGACCCTTTAAAGTCGAATGACGACCACGCCAAAAACGCCACAAATTTATAACGACCACGAGTGTACATGGGAAAGAACGGTTTTGCTGGAGTATCTAAAAATTTAAGCTGGATACAGATCTGAAAATAATTTTGTCTGAATCATAAAAATAACTATGTAGGACGTTTAAACTGGTTGCTAGAATATTAAAACTTTTTACAGTCTTATCATCGATATTTAAGCGTTTTATATAATTATTTTTATGGTTCAACATTATTTTTCAGATCTGTATTTAGCTAAATTATTTTATTTATCACACGTCTCCTTGAAATACGTGCGCTTAATAGCTATTGGTTGTTGCGACAAATATTATCGTAACCTCGGTGGAGACATTTTTTGCAATAAAATTATTTGCAGATTTAAGATTCTCATTAATATTTGATTATTAACATTCTTATAAAGCTGTTTCTTAGCATCAAAAATTATTAAATTGCTTGTTACTTAAATAAGGTAAAGCGAGGTAATTTGGATAGGTTGATAGAAATTTTGAATTTGTATAAAAGATTAAGATTGCATAATGCATTTAATTATTAAACATACAAAACATACACTATTGGTGGAATAGTGTATGTTTTGTATGTTTGATCCAAATTACTCCGCTTTACTCTAAGTAGTACTACTTTAGTTCTGCTCATGATTTTGTTTCATAACTTCGGCGCACAGTTTGCAGAGTCAGATATATATATATATATAAATTCACACATGCAGAATATGTAAACATTAAAATTACAGCATTAAAGGATCCACTTAACCGAATATAGGAATTCTTTTATTTAATTAGATTTATTCTCATCAGTCCAAATTCGTATCATGTTATAAATTATTTTAGATAGTCTATCAAAACTATCCTTTCCATATAAAAATCGTAACATTGTCGCAATTCATGTTGTTTCTCAGCTTTGCACTGTAGATGTCATTTTTCGTCGCTGTTCCCAAGGATGCAATACGCGATCGACATTATACACAGCGGTACAATAAATATATTCCGCTCGAGCTATCTCGCATACGCGAAAGATATCCCGTTCCCAGCGTCGACGATGCAGACGGCAGCAGTACTCGCAAGGCAGCTGTGTTCATCTATGAAACAATTAGATCGGACCAGGAGATACGAGAACGTTGAGACGGCCCCCTTTCTACCTTCCCTCGCTCGCAGGTACTCGCCCTCGAACCGTAACTTCCACCCGCACGACAGGCAGCCGTAGACACCGAGAACGTAAACCGTCTATCGCATGGATCCATCTCGGTTAGCTGGTTATTTAGCCATTTATGATCCGGCCGTGATGCACGCCGACGTGCCTATAGGATAGGCGCATATAAATTCAAAGCTCGCTTTAACCTCGGCGACGCCACGTTCGTTTGTTGCAGCCCAATGCATCGCACCGCTCGGCATGGAGTCCGGGACGATCCCGGACACGGATATCAACGCCAGTTCCAGCTTCGACACCGGAAACGTCGGACCCCACCTGGCACGGTAAGCGACAGTTTTTCATTCGGATAGTCTGCCGAACCGCCATCGATCACTCGTATCTACCGGCGCCTTCTGTTACGCTCGATCCACCCGCGACCGGCGTAACGCCGCCGATATCGTGGGACGCGCGCAAAAATTGATCCCAACCGCATCTTTCGCTAACAGTCTTCCCCTACGTAAACCAGGCTTCAAGCGGAATATTCATAAAGACGATAGAAAGTCGTTTCTATCGCGTTGTTTTTATCGTGATGTAAGAATATAAGAGGTCTGTTTTTTATTCCTGCATTAGACTGCACTAGAACTCTCTTTACACGCTTTCGCCAAATATCAAACGTATACACTTAGCTCACTTTAAGTTCCAAAAGTGGATACTAGTTTAACCATAGAGAACAGACCTATTGTATTTCATTGAGCATAATAGCAGTTGAATATAACTTTAGGGCAAATTTCTTATTAATGGTAAATTTCTAATAGCGGCTCTAAGGTAAATGTACCAGTTAATGAACGGTTAGTGGCCCAGTTATTGGACGAAACGATAAAAAATTTTTATAATTAAGCTTTTAATGATATATACAACTCAAAATAAATTCGTTGTTTTATAAATTTAATAAGAATTTATTTAGAGTCGTATCATTAAAAGCTTAAGATTTAACATTTTTGCCATTTTGTCCAATAATTGGATCATATTCACTAACGGTATATTTACCTCATATTGGCTTACTTATATTTTAGGCTAATTTCTGATTGATCATCGACTAGGTCTCCACGGGAATGAAAGACGTAATATTCTTACATCATGGCTTTTATTATCAAAATGTAACGAGTCCGGGCGCCACGCTCTACTTTTAGAATTTTTAAAAGAAAAATAGAGGCTCTGTGTCTGGGCGAGGTAAATATATCACCTTTTGTGTTAATTGTGACGCCTTCGCTTTGCGCGCGCGCACACGTGATTACTAAAGGGAACGCCCGGCTGCTCGTTAATACGTAAAATCCGGAATATCAGGTTTGTAAGTCTATGGCGAAAGACGTTATTATGCGCAAACAAAGAGAACAACGCGGTTGCGAACGTGATTATTTCTAATCTAACAGGCGTAGCTTTAACCCCATTTATGCGCGAAGGCCAGGTAACAGAGATTAGTCGACATCTCTTATCGTCAAGCCGCGAGAAAAGAAAAAAATTCAGCACCGACAACGGGTGGGCGCGCGAAAAAGCTTATGAAGTCTAATTATAAATTAACGCCTATCCCGCGCAAGAATAAATTCACGGTGCAACAACGTATAATTAAGTAATCCGCGTATCTTTCCGATAGCTATCGTTTCTCGTTTGGCACTTGCTCTCGTGCGAAATGAATATTTATAGAGCTATTAAATTGATCGTTCTCCCTGAGCGCCAGTTTATTCCTCGGTTTAAAAACGAATTTATTTTTAATTGCGGCTGACGAAAATTATTCAACATGAATTTACGGCCGATCGGGGATTTACATACTGCCGTGCGTTCTGTTCTGCGTTAATAATTTCTACGTCATTATTCGATGCGTCCCTTGACCGTGCTGTTTGCGCTTGTAATTATTTACGACGACAACGTTACCAGCCGCCGAAAACTTAAAAACTTCCGTTAAATATCCCAACAAGTTAATGTTCCAGTATGAGTTTAATTACGAGTACACGTTTAACGTAATTTTTTGCTTATAGTTAATAAACGATGAGGCACGACGGTAGAATTAATTTCATTCTCCAAATTAATTTCCACCTGCATTACCCTCTATATTTTGCCTGCTGTTTCGCCACATTCGTACCCTTCCTCCTACCTCACAAACATTTGCAAAATGACTATGGCGCAAAACAGAGAGCCTTTAGCGGACATGCCTCGCAGGAGCCTCCCGTTCTCTAATGCAATTATCACAAAAGGACCTTTGACGTATCATACTTGAAGTAAAAAGAATATTACATCTGGCCAGTGGTAAAAGGGTTGGTCGTGTAACGCCTCTGGTAGCCGCTGGTGCAACGCATGAATACGAGATGCAACTGGCAGAGTACGTGGTGCGCCAACTACCTCCTCACCTTCTCGACCTCGCTCTCTACCTCTCTCTCTCTCTCTCTGCTTCTCACTCTCGCGCTCTCGCGTTTAGATATTAATGCGTGGGGCCCGGTATTCGCTAGCGGTTTGCAGTGCAGCGGCGGTTTATACGAATATTCCATCCCACGGGACGTATCCCAGCCCAGCAGACCGCGGTTGTAGTACCGAACGGGTGCGCGCGGCACCAAGCCGGGGTATACACGGAGCGTTGGTCGACGGCCCCGCGGGCTCTCCGATATTAATACATTCCATTACCGCAGACAATGACCGGCTGAATGGGCCTCCGAGTCTTGATGAGCTCCGCTGTGCCCCCGCAGCATCGCGCGCGCCGGAGATCCTCCGGCCGCGCACGTCACCATCTAATTTAATACAGGCTGCCCTCAGGCGCGCGAGGTGCTGCGGACGCTTACAACGGCGATGAGCGCTCCTTTGTGCTGCTTGGAAAAAAAAAAAGAGAGAACTGCCCCGCCATTTTCTTCGAAATTTCACGAGATAATAGGCCGACGTACGCTTTGCTCCGATACGAATTACCGCCGTATACGGCGTATTTTTCTTTCTCGCTCACCACGAACGTCGAGGGTACACGTTTGAAAAAAAAAGAAAAAGAGAAAGAGAAAAAATAACGTGAAGCTAGGTTCTGCACGCTTTCCTAGATTCTCGTTATACTGAAAACGTCGCGAATTAAAACAACGCGCCTGGGGATGCGTCAATTACACGAGAAAAATCATCCGGAATGAAAACACCGGAAATATAAAATATATAAATGGCTCATAGTTTGAATATTGTGCAAAGATTGACGTTGATCTCTGGTATGGAAATGTATCACAGGCTAGGATTCACTACAAGATATGCTCTGATGATCATTTCGACCCAACTAGAAAACTTTTTTTACAAATTATCGAAAGAATGTTTCTGACAAATAGAAAAATTGTAGCATATAGGCACATATACACATAAAATATACGAGAAAAATGATTCGTTTTCCTATAACAAAAGTGATTTCAATTAGGAACGAAAATTCCCGAGTTACAACAGCGTGAGCCGTGATAAATCATCTGTGAATAGAAGAATAAACAGTTCTCGCCGATGCGTATCGTGAAAGCTAATGGAGCGCGTTTTTTCCAATTATCGAGTGAAAAATTTTTGACGTACAATCGGCGTGAAAAAGCCGGCGCTGTATTTCGTACCGCATACTCCTTTTAGGAATCGTGCAGCTGCAAGTTCTTTCGCACGTTTCCGCCGTTCCTTTTCTTCGTGTTTCCGTTCAACGGCATTTCTAGAATGGGTGCAATTAAGACGCCAGTAGGAACATAGAACGGGCGAGATATCGCTTAAAGAAATTGAACGGGGTTGAGAAATCACGAGACGATTTTCGCCGCGTAATTTCGCTCGAAACGAAAATAGCGCGCGTTTCAATTTATCTGCCGGGTGAACTGTGATTACGTGCTAATTACGTCGATGCATACTATTAAGCTCGCGAGTTTATTTTCAACGCGAAAGCGAAATATTTAGTTATTATTGTTTACGTGACGTTGTAAATGTACATCGTTAATGTTACCATAGCTTTGAAACGATAAGCAATGATTATTTCCGCACACGAACTTCCACGCACACGTTTGAATTGTTGTTCGAACAACTAGAAATATGATACGAACCATTTTCCTAAATAGAGGAACGGCAGGAAACTGCATGATACAAGATATTTACTTCGGAAATAACGTGCTAGCGTTGAGTTAGCGAATTTTTACAGGCTCGTAATAGCTCTTACTTAGAGCCATTACTTGATACACTATAATTTAGAAAAGCACAGATGAGACGGAGGTTAAAAGAGACAGCCGGTTATATTCGCGGCCGATTACGCTTACGCGTCAAACGATGCCAAAGTGGACCTTATCTTCGATTTTACTCCATCTCAACATCGAGTTATAGAATGATTGGAACAGAGACGCCTCGAGCATCACAGGCGAAGAGCTTTCTGAAAATAGCCTCTGATCCGTTTGATGTTTCAAACGACGAATCAGTAAAATAATTTCTGATTCATTTCCTCTTCGAGATATGAAAACAGTACGCACGAAAAAAATTTTTATTAGAATAAAAATACGCTCATATACAGTAATATTATAACACAAATATACGAGAAATTACAAATTAACATCTATTATACACTGTTGAATATTAAAGGAGCAATGGTAATCTAATCCTTTGAGTTATAAATAACATTTTGTTATTTTTAACTTCCATCTCTATCAAAATGTAAATCAATCCATTTCTGTAATTAATTTTAAAGTAAACATCCACATTAACGTATACACTTAGATAATAAACTAAATTTGAATCAAACTTAATATGTACATTTTCTTGAAATAAATTGTTTAACTCTATTGTTTTAGTCAAATTAACGATATATTAGGTAAGAGTGGCAAATTATAAATATGATTAAAAATAACTCAAATTGGGAATAATTTGACATTTTGAATCTAACATTGTAAAAAAAAAAATATCGAAATATTTAAAAAAAATTTTATTTAAATTATCATTCTAAAAAAATGTTTAATATCCATAATTTGGTATAAAATTAACCGGGATATTTTTCTTTCCTCGAGGAGAAAATTATGATCAGACAGATTTAAAATCGTGGTCTTAGGACCAGATTTAGTTCTGTGATATTCGCTCTATGGATGTATCTCCGTAGAAATAACAGTGACGGCCGTGGCGAGTGCCAATAAAGATTCGATTGGTAAATGGCCGGGACCGTCTTTTTCCAATTTCGCTACAGAGAAATACAACGATTCTTTAAAGAGATACTTTCTCTCGACTGCAGTCTACCGCGATAACATTTATTGAGAGACACGGCTCATCTTACACCTGCAAAGATATTGCAGTCGTTCTGCAGATTCATTGCCGCGTTTGGCATGAAGAGATGATGTAAATATATATATTTTACATTAACAAAAGAGACTAATCGTACCTCGGCGTTTCGCTATTTATTCGTTTATAGAGCACTACATAGTTCGAGAATTTCGTCACTACTTACTCGTATTTAAATTGCGAAATCGGAATCCGTCTTATAAAAGCGGAATTTCTTAGGTCAACTTAATGAGCGGAAATCAAGAAGATGTGATTAAGAAAGAAATGTAAAACAGTATACGTCTGAAGAATAATTTCGTTCAATGAATTCGTCCAATCATCGTGGACTGACATTCTTCTCTAATCTAAATATCTAATTGCACGGATAAGATCGTCCAATAAGGCGCGTGCTATGTAATTAAAGATATTTTAATTTAATTAACTAGTGCATAACATGATGGATTCTTTAATACTAAGAGCATAGATCCGAGATCGTTGAATTAGATTGAAAAATAATTTCTCTTCTCCGCAAGAACCATTCAATTCGTAACGATAACGCACGATAAAAATTCCGCCGCGTGACAGATTCAATTTTCCCGTGACCGACAACGTCATCGTCGAAACGGTAATAACGGCGACATTTTTTCTCACTCTGAAATTAAATTCTGACCGCGACTGACAGGACGGTGCTTTTGTCATACGAAATCGCGCGAATCTTTTTCCATCGATCGTCATGCTCCGCCACTCGCCGGCGGCGTGACGGTGAGATGTCCGTCAATCTTCCCGATCGATGGTTTGCATAATGCGAGCGCGTTAACGCGCGCAGATAGCGAGCAATCCTGCTGTCACGTGCCCGTTAATACCGGCGAATGCAGAATCAGCGGGGCGGTTGACGCGATGGAAAATTTAAGTTTGCCACGCCATCCTCTTCTCGCCTCGCTCGATTTAATACCATCCGTTCGTGCCAGTCGTGCGGAGCGGACGACATGGAGTTTTCGGTGGTTCTGCATCGTGTTTCACCGTCAAGAAAACGATTATACCGGATCGTCTTTTTGGTACATGCGGAGACCACACACTTCGATCCTTCCTTGCCCCGCGACACTCATGGAAAGTCATTATAAATAGAACCCGCGAGCCGGTTTTGAACACCATCGCGAATTTTTGACGATATAAAAGAGACGCATAAAGCGGGATATTGTCTTCGCAGAAATAAACTCGCGTTTGCATGCATTTACATTCAATTTAGGTAGTAAAATTTTGTAATTTAGATGGGATTTCTATTAAAAAATAATATTCTGAGAGAGAGAGAGAGAGAGAAAGAGGTTAAATTTTTTTATTCTGAACTAAATTTTTTAAATTTATTTTTTCATGATTTATATTTATTTGATGCCCGAAATCTTGCAATGAATTATTCGTATTAAATATATATATAAAATAACAGTTTGTAACTATTTGTAATTTAAATACATTTATAAACTCATTGTTTATTCTTGCTAATAATACGTATTTTTATCGAGTAAGAGAAACTACATTATGTTATAACATTTAACATGATTGAATATATTTGTTTTAATTCATTGTTCATTTCTGTCGAATTTACATTATTCGTTTCACTCCAATTGGATCCTTATCATCGACATGCTGCAAGTACGGAAATTAAAACTCAGCAGCAACGTTTTAAATAAATAACATCGATCGGTATTTGTTACAAATTCGCAAAAAATTTTCTGGTAAATGAAAAGATTCTTTATTCATTGATATCCATTCGACCATCTATTATAAACAATATCTCACAATATGTAAGGAGAAATAACATCTCCTTATGTGATCGATATTTATCATGATCAGTCGACTGTTCCTTAAAATTTTTTATGAAATTTCGTGGTTCATTCGGCAACCGGGAATTATTTATTTAAAATAAGCGTTTCTCGTAACGATAGAAAACTACACTGCAGGATGATAGAACCCACGCCTTGTCATTGCTACTCCACCTTCGGCTAATCATCCCGAACAAGCCGGTTGTTAACGATAAAGAGGCGCCTCCACTACACAGGTTGTAAATCTCGCGAAAGCAGCCATTATAACCGTGATCAGCCGCATTGCCGCGCCGTTGAGAACGCAGCCATGTTATCGTACTCGATTAATGATGAACGTGAGGTATGATTATTAGCACCTCGTGGATCAATCGTGACGCAATTCCTCGATGACGCATACTCATCGTAAATAGCTCTATTTTATGTTTCTCATTATCGAGAAAGATTATTATAATCATCATCCGCGCCGCGCGTAATAATCCAGTTTATTGTGCCATTTCGTTGTAAGTGGTACCTTACTTTATCACAGTAAACGTCTCGCATAACCAACAAGCATCCCTTCGTTGGCGCAATTGTCGAGAAATATCATTTCCCTCTGAGACTCTTTTTCGCACGCTGAGATATTGGTATGCCGAGAGCGCTCTCGCGCCGAAACTGCGAGAACGTTTCACGCGGCGATTCCTAATCTGCAATTTGAGAAGAATACACCCGCCCGTATATAACTATACGTATCCTCGGCGTAACGCCGAAAAGGAGCACCACTCTTAGTCGAGCATTTAAACGGTCCACGCAATTAGGGAAGGCGCTTCGCGCTTCATGTTTTATTCATGCCAGCCTCGGCGCAGAACTCCCTCCTTGCTTTGCTTTCGACCCCTCGAAGATTAAAACCGAAGCACGAGGCGGGCACAGCTTGAACGCGTATTCTAAATGGCCGCGTATTCCTATCCTACCTATATCACCTGCGCGAGATGATACGTGGTCACTCCGAATATCTCCGATTTCCCGCCTATGTAAATTCGTCGGTTATCGAACCGGACTTTGGGAATCTCGATAAGCTTCCGGATTTTCAATGATCTCAGCGAGTCGGAAAGCTCATTTCTGCGTTTACATCTGCGATTATTCATCATTTCTCTCGTACTCTTATCCCATTGACAAATAACATCTATTTTAACTTAAGCCACATAATAACATTGACATAATACGGTAATTTTACAATAATTTTACAGTAATTTTATAATAATTTTACACTATTTTCGTCATATTTGTATAAATAGTATTCTACAAACACCTTGAATTATTACAAATGTGCGTTTTCTTTCAAAACAAGGAAGCCATTTCAGATACCATTTTTATACTAATTCTAGATCTTCCAAGCTTCATTAAAATGCAATTCGGATTCACATTGCGTGCGCAGCTCACATGGCGTCAACGAAATAACATTCGAGAAAGAGCACGAAATCCTCGAGTTCTTGCGCACGTAAACGCGATAATATCGGAATTTGGAGAGAGGACTTCGATGGTCGACCGCGCATCGGTTGATCTTCTGATAGCGTGAGATGAACAGTACTGGCGAGGAACTAACTCGATACTTTCACATCTAATTAGATCGTTACTTTTATGAGCGGACGAGGTCGAGCCAAAGCGCGTATACGCGACTGCTCGAAATTCGATTTCTGAGAATAGAACTCTTCGATAGTTTTAAGTGTGTTTTTAAGTAATTTAATAGTTTAGTTATTTAATAGTTTTATCAAATTCTTCGTGACTTTTTACATTTTTAAATAACGAGTTATGATTTTCAATTTTTTTAATGAAGATGTAAAATAACAGAAAATATTTTTCTACTATTGTATATTTTTATTTAAAAAATTGAAAATCACAAATCATTATTAAAAAATCATAAAAATCGGTTCTCCATATGAAAATGAAATAAAATAAATGCATTAATGTTTCTTTTAAAGGTATACCACAAAATAACCAGCGCAAAAGTTAATTCGATACTCGACTGTCGATGGTTATAGATTGAAATCGGAGAACCTCGGTGGTGCCTGGTGTCCTAAGAACCAAATCACCCAGGAAGCTCGAGAGTGGCTGGAGATCGACCTTCATACTATCCACTTGATCACGGCCACCGCTACCCAGGGCCGTTTCGGAAACGGCGTGGGTGTTGAATTCGCAGAGGCGTATATGCTGGAGTACTGGAGGCCGCGACTGGGCAAATGGGTTCGATATAGAGACATCAAAGGAAATGAGGTGAGCGCCTTAACTTAATTAAAGATTCTCTATCGTGGCGCTAGATTACGAACATTGGTATAGAACGCTGCCACGAAGTTGTTCGACGTTTTCCAACCAAGTTCCTAAATCGGACTGATTGGATTCTCCATTACTTAGCTATTACCCTAATGGTCCAATCTGTATTATAAACTAACTATTATAACTATCATAAACTTAAATAATAAGATGCAAAAAATTATACCAACAGTTTTCTTACACATAATGCGTGCAAATTTTGTAGTTTTTCAATTTTAATTCTTAAAATAATCAAATCAAAGTAAAATAACGAATTAATTATATATCTTTCGAATATACTCTACAATTCGTAAATATTTTGCAATATATAGAGGAAATAATTACGAAAAAAATGGAGACTCTATTCAATTTGAAGACTTTGAACTTCTCGCGTATTCTTATATCGAACCTCAAGCATAACACGAGTACGAAAAACTGTGCGGTTTTTAGAACTGACAGACCATCGGATCGATGCACACGAGACCATTTCGGCAAAAACATTCGCCGCTATCGTGATTTATGACGTGATGCCGACGTCGATTCGCGCATCTACCGACGCCAGTTGATGCAGCAGCTGCCGCGGTTACAGCAGAACGATCGAAATAGGCCCGATCTCATTGACTCAAAATAATCGCACCATCGTTCCTTCGGCTAAGCTGTTGAGATCGTTATTCCGGAGCTAGATAGAATGCAGTCCATTCTATTTGAGTGCAGTTAAAGCAACGCGTACATGCCTGAACGAGATTCGACGAACGCGAGTTCAAAGTGTTCGACGATCAAGAATCGATTGCGAGGCGCGGGATTATCCTTGCTTGAAACGTAAGCCGCTTATCGCGAATCCGTAAGCTAATTTCGTACCGTCGGTGCGCCACTTTGTCGGGCCCGTCCTACGGCATGCCTCGAGCCTTCCGCTCGTCTGCTCGCGAGAGAATCTGCTACGATTCTCTCGACTAACGGTGAAGCCCACGTTGAAGTATTAGCGGGAGCAGCTGCGGTGAGCGGAACGAGTTCGTGATGGACGCCGTAAAGTTAGGATACCGGCATTACCGTGTACTATGCATTAGCAACAGTATATTCCGTTCATATCCGTAGCGACGAACCGCGATCGATGCGCCACTACCACGTTTAAGGCATTTTCCAGATTGAACCTCTCATAAATGTAAAAACACTCAAAGTTTAACTACTGTTCCGCGACTTACAATCATTTTGATAAAACAAATACATAGGTATGTCGTTACAAAGACAATTCTTTCCAGGTTCGAATCCCGCTGAAGAAGTATTTTTTGCAACAAATTGTTCGCAGATTTAAAGGATTCTCATTAACATCAGATTATTTGTATAAGATGCTATTAGCATCAAAAATTATTAAATTGCCTATCAATTTAATAAATGACGTTATTACTTCGATTCTATTCATGAGTCTGTTTCAAGACCGAAGAAGATCTTGGCGCACGGTTTGCAGAAGAGATATGTATATAAATTCACACCGAAATATTCAAGCACTAAAGATCCGCTCTGACCAAATATAGAATTGCTCTTATTTAATTAGGAAATTCTTTCCTCTTCTCAGTTTTTTATTGAATAAATAACCGAAAAATCTAAAATATAAATAGAAGTTTGAAAAGGAGACATCCTATATATTCGTCCGCAAACGATCAACCAAGATCACTCGGAGTAGACTCTGTCCACATGATGGCGACTGCAAACATCAAATGTGCCCGATACCGTTTACCTTTGAGGGAGCCGCACACGAGTATCGCCGACGGCGACGGAACACGTTCCCAGTGAACTCAATGTCGTCTACCGTCGTCGGGCAATGTTTATGGACCACGTCGCCGTCGCTATTACGACACTTTAAGCCTCATTCGTCGGCACGTCCCCTCGGGGAACGATTCCGTAGCGATGCGACGCGTACCCCGTTCATTAATGCGACGACGATCCCCGTCTCGCTTTACGACGCTAAGAAGAGGCGATACACCGATACACGTCCTGAAAGGCGAGACGAAAAAGCTCGCCTAACCGCTAGGCAAATTGGTCATTCGATCGGCCGTCTCTATACATCCACGTTCGTCCGGTTACGATCTTATTAATATTGATGGACCACTCGCGCCGGCGTTAATGCGTCGAGGGACTGCGTGACTTTGCCGTTCCCCTCCGCCAGCAAGAAGACACCTCGCGCGTCGCACGATTAACTTCATGATTATTCAATACTTAATGATTAATCCGGTTTTCTGCTTCGGAGGCGACCCTCTTGAAAATACGTTCGGTCAACAATCAAAATTTTATGATTATTCAATTTGGCAACGAATCTGAAATGTAGCAGTTTGCATAATGTGTGAAACGTCACGATCAACAGCTGAGGTTCATATATCCGAATATCCGATTTTGAGTTTAAATTCGATATTTAATCTATTTAATTATAGTGTATTTTCTAAGTTCCTCCTAAATAAACCTAAATTAGTTCTCGATATACGTGTGGTGTCAAAAGAGATTAATACATTTTCGTCCTATTTTATATTTTTATTTCAATTAACTAAGTGCCTTTGATATATATCTTTCAGTGATCTTTCTGCCAAACAATTTAATATGCTGCACTTCATCTTAATTCGATTACATAGAAAATATGTCAAAAGGAGAGAAAAACGATTGAAAACATTATTAACTTAAACGTAAGATTAATGGCGACGTAATTGGACAGGTGCTAACGTGACGTGAATCTAAAATTCCATGCCGAGACATAGTTTCTCGAGTATGTGACATATCCCGACTCATCACTATTCATGGCCTTATTATCAACTCGGCATACTTAGTCCTTTTGTAGAGCGCGCAAACGCGAGAAGCTGCTCGTGTGTAAAATTTTGCGGTGCAATTACTAGTCAGCAGAAAAACGACAATGATGCTGATGAGACACATTTCAGTATTCTATCGATTTGTCTCTCATGAGAACAGTTATCCGTTATAATCGATCGAACGTGTCTCTACATCTGGCATCCGATTACTATCTTGTTAATATTGATAGCCAGCTTGCATCGGTGCTAATGCGCCAGAGGATTGCATCTTCGTCCTACATGCCGAAGACGCTGTCTATCGTCATCGGCGCTCAACCGCGTAATTTCATGCAAACACTGTATAGCCCCTTCGATCCTATTATGAATCCTATGATTATTCACCGCTTTATTATTAAACGTGATCTGGTTACTAACCTTGATTCATTTTTCCCTATTATGGACGAAATCCATTAACGGTTAAGATTTAATTTTGGACTTACCGCATCTGAAAAAAAAAACAAGAGAATTGATCCATTAAAATGGCTACTAAAGATTTAAATAGCTTTATATTGATGGAATAGCTTTATATATACGTTGACAAAGAGTCCCGCACAAAACCACAGGGTTTTGGCTCTCGGTAAAATTAGCTTAAATTGTGATGTATTATAGTTTTTAACTCACTGATCAAAAATTTCCTGAGGCAAAATCTTAAAAAATGGACAAATTTTGTCATTTGAAAGCTACTATTTTCCGTTCTAATCGAACTGAAAAGTATCTTTATCTATTGAATTAATTTTTATGCTATTTTAATTTTTTGGTAATTTAATACTTCTATATTTAATACTTCAGAATAATTACATAAACTAATTGATGTAAAGAAAACACATAGCTGCTTTTCAAAAAAATTATGCAATTTACATGTAATATATAAAATTGCGGAACTACACTTTTTTTAAACAACTATATATTTTTTTTACATCAGTTGGTTCATCTCATTATTCTGTTGTATGTAAATATTAAGGTACAGTCATCAAAAAATAAATAATTTAGTAGTAAAGATACTTTTTAGTACGATTAATGATTAGAAAATAGCAATTCTCAAATGATCCTACAACAAAATCTATCCATTTTTTATGGTTTTGTCTAAGCGATCTTTTAATTAATGAGTCTCAAAAACTATAACATAATATTACAATTTAAGACAATTTTACCGAGGGCCAAAAATCCGTGGTTTTATGTAGGGTCCTTTTTTTAGAAGTTATTTTTATTGCAATATGTAAATAATTAATCAAAATTGATGTCACTTTAATATAAAGATATTTAACGTTGTTACTTACTAAAATTATTGCGCATAAAAAAACAAACGGATATTTAATACAAATTTTCCTAAAGCAAGGAAATATCTTTTTTCTAAGGATAAACGTAGTAGTTGTATTGAGAAATCCGATTAATTATTGTAGGAGGAAATGAGATTAACTTGGTAGACGCTCGTAGAAGGAAGCGAAATTTTTGCTTCCGCAGCAAATATACCCGAGACAGCAAATATTCCCTTTCCCGCGTCACGCGCTGTGGGAAGTTTTTCCAGGGTTTTGCGGAGATATCCGAACGAAAGAGAAAGAAAGAGAGAGAGAGAGAGAGAGAGAGAGAGAGAGAGAGAGAGAAACGTTCTACGGACTCGCGCGCTGCGCCGAGGCGATAAGAAACCACGAGGTCTTTAACAATTTCGAGGACAAGAGAGGAGCGCTAACGTATTCTGACGTGTGCATTTGTGCGTGTGCAAGGTGCATACGCCGTCGCATAATACGTACACGCGTCAGCGGAAAATGACGCGAATAGTACCACGTAATGCTAATAATAATTGTCACGCAGAGGGGTGACGAAAGACGAAGGCACTCCAGCTTCAAAAGGCCGCCAGAGGTAATTAAAGCTTGAGGCGCAACCTTTCTCTGGCTCTTTCTCTCTATCTTTCTCTCGCCTCCGTATTTCACCCTCACTAGCGCCCGCGCCTTCGCGAAGAAAGAGAAAACACCTTCCACAACTCCTTCCGCCGGCTTCAACGCTCGTCTCAATAATAAATACCCCACGTCAAAAACCGACCCCACTTCTCATTAGTCTACGCGCCATAGCGTGCTTCCATCGTCCCATGCTCCATCGACGGACGGGAGATTAAATAGATTTTCTTGGAATCTCTGGCGC